TTAACAGACTGAACTCGGACCCAAGCTTCCTACTTTCCTTTATTTTCAGTGTTTAATTTCTTGTGTTTTTTCCTCTCTTCAAGGCTATGACTTTGCTGCTGTCCTGGAGTGGTTTGCAGAGCGTGTGGACAGGATCATATTGCTGTTCGATGCCCACAAACTGGACATCTCAGACGAGTTCTCAGAAGTGATAAAGGCCTTGAAGAACCATGAAGACAAGATTAGGTACGAACCTAAGAATTGGTTCCAAACTTGCCTAAATATATTTTTGTTTGCTTTTCAGCTTCTGTATAAGTACAGAAAATGAAATATAGCTAAAAGCTTAATTTCCAGAATTTAATCTGGGAAAAGAAACGAGTCTAATGCTGAATATATAAATGGATTTTCAAATTTTTATCTTTCCTTTATAAATTCGAACCTTGACTTTAACATATTAGCCTTTAGGTTTTTGATCCAAAGGTATAGTGGAGGACCCACCCCACAAAAAAAAACAAAAAAAAACAAAAGCTTATGCACAAACGTGTACCCACTCCTGAGAGGGAACGCCTATTAAACGTGTGTGAGAGCGTGCACGAGTCCATTTCTCCTCGTTTAACTGGCAGTGATGTTAAATGGATTTCTACAAATAGCGCGCCAGACTTTACCTGTCGATTAGAAACTTCACAATCGAGGCATCAATGGGAAGCCCGACCTGTGCTTTCAGTGTAAGCCATCGCGTGAAAGAATCTCCCAAAAACACTTCTTCTGAGGCCTTTCTTTTCTTCTCATACACTTCGTAGACACTTTTTCTCTTACGACCCTCGGCCATTTTCTAAGAACCGCGGCGAGAAATGCGAGCTTCAATGACTGTCTGAAACCGTAGCTCACCACATAAAAGTGTGCATGCGCAGAAAAAGATAATTAACTGGGGACAAGCACATAGGTCGGCCTTATGTAAACATATCACCAAAATGATTGACAATTAGGAGAACCATTTATTTAAATGATCCACCCTGAAAAAGAAAATCCTCCACTATACCTTTAATGTCTTTACAGTAATACCTTTTTACCTTGTTTGGTCTCTAGTCAACTTCTCATACATGTTCAACTGGACCTTTGGCTCTTAAACATGGTCTAAAATGCAAACAATTCCATATTAACAATAAAAAACTGCTCTTTAATGAGGTTGCATTTAGCTTTGAGTACTACTTTCCTCAAATTATCAGGACAAGGTTAACAGATTAAAT